AAAAAGGTAGATTTTAAAAACAAATCGGTTTTTGGTCAATCATTTTTTTCACCCCCTCGATTTTGAATTTGTTCGAATGCCAATTGATAGTAGGGATCCGTACGAGTTTAAAAAGGTATAACATTATAAAATCAAACGATATTTATTGGAGATATTACAAAAAAATCATCAAAAAAGTTTGGATTTTTGAACCGACCACGATTTTGAAAAAAACGTGATGTAACCACTTGATTTTTGGTCGATTTTGGTTAAAATTTAGATTTTTATTTTTTTGATGCCAATCGATAGTACTGATCCTTACGAGCTCAAAATGGTATAAAATTACAAAGTCTGACATTATTTGGCCGAGATATGCCAAAAAATCATCAAAAAAGGTAGATTTTAAAAACAAATCGGTTTTTGGTCAATCATTTTTTTCACCCCCTCGATTTTGAATTTGTTCGAATGCCAATTGATAGTAGGGATCCGTACGAGTTTAAAAAGGTATAACATTATAAAATCAAACGATATTTACCGGAGATATTACAAAAAAATCATCAAAAAAGTTTGGATTTTTGAACCGACCCCGATTTTGAAAAAAAACGTGATGTAACCCCTCGATTTTTGGTCGATTTTGGTCAAAATTTAGATTTTTATTTTTTTGATGCCAATCGATAGTACTGATCCTTACGAGCTCAAAATGGTATAAAATTACAAAATCTGACATTATTTGGCCGAGATATGCCAAAAAATCATCAAAAAAGGTAGATTTTAAAAACAAATCGGTTTTTGGTCAATCATTTTATTCAACGCATCGATTTTTAATTTGTTCGAATGCCAATTGATAGTAGGGTTCCGTACGAGTTTAAAAAGGTATAACATTATAAAATCAGACGATATTTACCGGAGATATTCAAAAAAAATCATCAAAAAACTTTGGATTTTTGAACCGACCCCGATTTTGAAAAAAAAACGTGATGTAACCACATGCTTTTTGGTCGATTTTGGTCAAAATTTAGATTTTTATTTTTTTGATGCCAATCGATAGTACTGATCCTTACGAGCTCAAAATGGTATAAAATTCGAAAATCTAACATTATTTGGCCTAGATATGCCAAAAAATCATCAAAACAGGTTGATTTTGAAAACGAATCGGTTTTGGTCAATAATTTTTTTTTACCCATCGATTTTGAATTTGTTCGAATGCCAATTGATAGTAGGGATCCGTACGAGTTTAAAAAGGTAAAACATTATAAAATCAGACGATATTTACCGGAGATATTACAAAAAAATCATCAAAAAAGTTTGGATTTTTGAACCGACCCCGATTTTGAAAAAAAACGTGATGTAACTAACCACTTGATTTTTGGTCGATTTTGGTTAAAATTTAGATTTTTATTTTTTTGATGCCAATCGATAGTACTGATCCTTACGAGCTCAAAATGGTATAAAATTACAAAGTCTGACATTATTTGGCCGAGATATGCCAAAAAATCATCAAAAAAGGTAGATTTTAAAAACAAATCGGTTTTTGGTCAATCATTTTTTTCACCCCCTCGATTTTGAATTTGTTCGAATGCCAATTGATAGTAGGGATCCGTACGAGTTTAAAAAGGTATAACATTATAAAATCAAACGATATTTACCGGAGATATTACAAAAAAATCATCAAAAAAGTTTGGATTTTTGAACCGACCACGATTTTGAAAAAAACGTGATGTAACCACTTGATTTTTGGTCGATTTTGGTTAAAATTTAGATTTTTATTTTTTTGATGCCAATCGATAGTACTGATCCTTACGAGCTCAAAATGGTATAAAATTACAAAGTCTGACATTATTTGGCCGAGATATGCCAAAAAATCATCAAAAAAGGTAGATTTTAAAAACAAATCGGTTTTTGGTCAATCATTTTTTTCACCCCCTCGATTTTGAATTTGTTCGAATGCCAATTGATAGTAGGGATCCGTACGAGTTTAAAAAGGTATAACATTATAAAATCAAACGATATTTACCGGAGATATTACAAAAAAATCATCAAAAAAGTTTGGATTTTTGAACCGACCCCGATTTTGAAAAAAAAACGTGATGTAACCACTTGATTTTTGGTCGATTTTGGTCAAAATTTATATTTTCATTTTTTTGATGCCAATCGATAGTACTGATCCGTACGAGCTCAAAATGGTATAAAATTACAAAATCTGACATTATTTGGCCGAAATATGCCAAAAAATCATCAAAAAAGGTAGATTTTAAAAACGAATCGGTTTTTGGTCAATCATTTTATTCAACGCATCGATTTTTAATTTGTTCGAATGCCAATTGATAGTAGGGTTCCGTACGAGTTTAAAAAGGTATAACATTATAAAATCAGACGATATTTACCGGAGATATACAAAAAAAATCATCAAAAAAGTTTGGATTTTGGAACCGACCCCGATTTTGAAAAAAACGTCATTTTGGAACGTCAAATCTCCGCGCGGAGTTATGTCGTTTTGGAACGTCATATCTCCGCTGGAGCTATGTCGTTTGGAACGTCATATCTCCGCTGGAGCTATGTCGTTTTGGAACGTCATATCTATGTCGTTCCAAACATTTTAAAATCAGACGATATTTACTGGAGATATTCAAAAAAAATCATCAAAAAAGTTTGGATTTTTGACCCGACCCCGATTTTGAAAAAAAACGTGATGTAACCACTTGATTTTTGGTCGATTTTGGTCAAAATTTATATTTTTATTTTTTTGATGCCAATCGATAGTACTGATCCTTACGAGCTCAAAATGGTATAAAATTACAAAGTCTGACATTATTTGGCCGAGATATGCCAAAAAATCATCAAAAAAGGTAGATTTTAAAAACGAATCGGTTTTTGGTCAATCATTTTATTCAACGCATCGATTTTTAATTTGTTCGAATGCCAATTGATAGTAGGGTTCCGTACGAGTTTAAAAAGGTATAACATTATAAAATCAGACGATATTTACCGGAGATATTCAAAAAAAATCATCAAAAAACTTTGGATTTTTGAACCGACCCCGATTTTGAAAAAAAACGTGATGTAACCACTTGATTTTTGGTCGATTTTGGTTAAAATTTAGATTTTTATTTTTTTGATGCCAATCGATAGTACTGATCCTTACGAGCTCAAAATGGTATAAAATTACAAAGTCTGACATTATTTGGCCGAGATATGCCAAAAAATCATCAAAAAAGGTAGATTTTAAAAACAAATCGGTTTTTGGTCAATCATTTTTTTCACCCCCTCGATTTTGAATTTGTTCGAATGCCAATTAATAGTAGGGATCCGTACGAGTTTAAAAAGGTATAACATTATAAAATTAAACGATATTTACCGGAGATATTACAAAAAAATCATCAAAAAAGTTTGGATTTTTGAACCGACCCCGATTTTGAAAAAAACGTGATGTAACCCCTTGATTTTTGGTCGATTTTGGTCAAAATTTAGATTTTTATTTTTTTGATGCCAATCGATAGTACTGATCCTTACGAGCTCAAAATGGTATAAAATTACAAAGTCTGACATTATTTGGCCGAGATATGCCAAAAAATCATCAAAAAAGGTAGATTTTAAAAACAAATCGGTTTTTGGTCAATCATTTTATTCAACCCATCGATTTTGAATTTGTTCGAATGCCAATTGATAGTAGGGATCCGTACGAGTTTAAAAAGGTATAACATTATAAAATCAGACGATATTTACCGGAGATATTACAAAAAAATCATCAAAAAAGTTTGGATTTTTGACCCGACACCGATTTTGAAAAAAACGTGATGTAACCCCTTGATTTTTGGTCGATTTTGGTCAAAATTTAGATTTTTATTTTTTTGATGCCAATCGATAGTACTGATCCTTACGAGCTCAAAATGGTATAAAATTACAAAGTCTGACATTATTTGGCCGAGATATGCCAAAAAATCATCAAAAAAGGTAGAATTTAAAAACAAATCGGTTTTTGGTCAATCATTTTTTTCACCCCCTCGATTTTGAATTTGTTCGAATGCCAATTGATAGTAGGGATCCGTACGAGTTTAAAAAGGTATAACATTATAAAATCAAACGATATTTACCGGAGATATTACAAAAAAATCATCAAACAAGTTTGGATTTTTGAACCGACCCCGATCCTGATCCTTACGAGCTCAAAATGGTATAAAATTACAAAATCTGACATTATTTGGCCGAGATATGCCAAAAAATCATCGAAAAAGGCAGATTTTAAAAACAAATCGGTTTTTGGACAATCATTTTTTTCAGCCAGTCGATTTTCAATTTGTTCGAATGCCAATTGATAGTAGGGATCCGTACGAGTTTAAAAAGGTATAACATTATAAAATCAGACGAATTTAACTCCAATACCACAGGCCTAATGTTGACCATATTTGACCGAAATGAACGGGGTATAATAACAATTTTTATTGAGTTCTTGAAAGTATATTCCAAAAAAGGCGGACTTTAGAAAGATATGTGTGTCGACGGTAGGTCAGCCTCGCTTCGCCCCAAGTTCTTCGAGTCTGTCAGAGTTTGACAGTTTTTCGATACAGCAAGTGCTTATTTTCTTTTCCATTATTTATCCAAAGAATGAAGGGAAATAAAAGAAGTGTGCGGGCATTCGCCGACATCCTGCAGGTAGACAAATCGTAGCATTCGGATGCGTTTTTCCTCTCTCCGCACGCAGAAAAGTGATAATTGGAGAAATTTCAATAATTCTTCCAAGAAACGCATTCAGTACTCTGCTAGCTGTCATTTATCAGTAGTAAAAACAAAAATAATTGAAAAGAAATTTAAACAATTTACATTCCACTTATCTGAGGCGCGCCAACTGTCACAATTGTGCTCTCTTTCCCGCACATCGCTCATCTCTGTCACTCAAGCGCGCTCTCTCGGTCACCTGGCAGGTAAGCTGAGCTGAGAGCGAGTCGTGTCTGAAGAGGTGATTGTCTCCCAATGCCAAGCGGATCTCAGTTCGTTTTTCAGCGCCAAACGTGACGGTTCACAGCGGAATTTCGTGATCGTTCGTCCGTTTCGAGTACAATTTTATCTCATGGTTTTCGCGACTTTTTAAAGTTTATGCACAACGCACGCTGAACAACAATAAAATTTAATAACGTTAAGCAAAACAAGAAATAATCAACCGGTTCTGCAGGCTGATACTTCAAATTAGAATTGTAAGCCACCTAAAAAATAAACAAAAAAAAACAAAAGTTGCTCAAGTTTGAAATTAAACAGCAAATGTCAATTTTAAGGCGGCGGCAAACCAAAAACTTGTGCCCCGTTTCTTGCAGTTTTGACATTAAAACAAACCGCAAAAAGTCAGCAACAACAACAAAGTTCATGCAACATTAAAACGTGAAAACCTACAACAACTGAAACAATATTGCAAGCAACATTCACATTCACACACAATCACACACACACGCTTACACTCGGGGCTGCACACATAGAACACCTTTTAGTGACCATGTTGCTCCGAAGACGTGCGTTTCAAAAACTGCAACAGCAACAACAACAACAACAACGACAACAACAACAGCTGCAACAACTGCAGCCAGAACAACAGCAACAGCAACAACAACAACAGGCATGGCAAAAACCGCGCTGGCAACGTGAAAAACCAGAAAAGAGGCACAATTTTTTGTTGTTTTTGTTCGAAATGAGCCTCTGCAACTGCGCTGTAGCGGCTGCCATAATAGGCGCCCTAGCAGCGCCCAAAATGGGGCGCTCAAAAAGGCATACGTGTGCCCTGAGATACAGCTAGATTGATAGCTTCAAATGATTAATGCTGGAGTTAATTTTTTACGAGTGAAAAAAGGCAAAGAGACAAAGTTAGGTACGAAATGTGCCCAAAAGGACATCTTTGGGTATAGACCTACCCCATCGCTTAACAAGAGCGTAGTTATGAAAAAAAGTAATATTAATAAAGAGCTGTAGCTTAGAATAGAGCAAAACTTAATTACTGATTACAATTGAAAACTAAGTTTAAGAAAAGTTAAGAGCTAGATGGGGGGCCTGAGAGATGCACAAATGTGTTTAACGCTTTCCAACACTGCTCCCCTTAACATTATTTCCATAATTTCAAAAGCATTTCTCTATCTTTTAAATATCTCGCGGCCTTAAAACCTGTTTGCTGCACAATCCGCACCTGCTAAAGGTACAAAAAAAAATTGCTGAAGAATCTCGGTGTGAGTTACTATTATGTATATACATAAGTACGTATATATGTTTGTATGGGGCCCACATAGTTGTAGTTGTCGTAGCTGTTGCTGTTGTTGTTGGTTATTTGCTAGCTCGCTGGGCCGTAGGAATGCGCGAATGTTTGCCAACATTATAAATCGTGATCTAATAAAAACAAGCAGCGACACATTCGCTGTGGAGAGAATCCACAGATCCGCAGACTAGCCACATCCCACGGCTGGCCAAAGCTGTTGACTTGGCTTGATTGGGACCTAAATGCTGTCCAGGTTGTTGGTTATAAATGACCGCAATATTTGTGCACGGTTGCGGGTTCCGTTGCGAGCAAAAGAAAAAGAAATCGTCTGCCATAAACATATGCAAAAACCGATATCGAAAGGGGAGAAATGAGCGAGAAAAATACCATTAAAAAAAAAACAAAAACATTCTACAACTTTTGTACGCCCTGGCGAAACACAGCTTTTTGAAGTCATTTCCGCATAATTCTGTATCGTTTTTTGTGTTTTGCTGCTTGTTGTTGAGGCTCAGTCTTTTGGAACAAGTTTGGAGCTTCCAGTTAACAACAACAGCAACAACAACAACGTTGTGTAGTAACTATGGATGTGTTAATCGAGTGACCGCCAGCCGCTTGACAAGCGTCTCAGCTTGTTTAGGGTTCCGCTTGCCTGCTCAGTCCGAAAAAGAAATTAATCAGGAAAAACAATGAGCAGAAATACAAACTACAACTAGTTAAGAGCCAGTTGATATGAACAACTATGGCTGGCAATGCGGAACAACGCACATAAGTTGCGCTAAAGATACAACTTTGCTGCGCCTCAGCCGCATTAGCCGAGAAAAGCTGCGAAAAGCCGTGAAAAGCTGAAGAGCTGCAGCTAAATTGTGAAAATGAATTGCAGGCGGGTGCCATCAAAGTCATGAGAGCCCCTCCCCTGCCCGCCGACAGCCTCCTCACCCCTTTGCCGGCTAGTTATGCCTAATGTGAAATTTATGTTTATGTTGCGGCTCTTACAAAGTAGAAAGTCCAGCCGCATGTTTGTGTGAACTGACCAAAGTGGCTGCCACTTGTTGCTCGAGTAGAAAGCCGCCAACTTAAGGCCGTCAAATGCTGCAGTTGCAGTTAAAGTTGCAGTTGCAGTTGCAGTTGCACTTAGCAGCTCTTCTGCCCAACTCTGTCAAATGTTGCAAAACATTGTGCCACGTTTTGGTTAACAAACTGCGCTTTAGCCATTACCCAACTGACCTTATTTTACAGCATATGCAGCGTTTAGCACACACACACACACACTCGCACACACATTGCTGCACATTTACTTAGTTTGGCATTTCGAGCTTGCGCGCGTTTTGCGCGCGTCTTTTGCCGCGCCAGCATAAAAAAAAACGCTTAGACTGCAGCTTGGGAACAGCATTGGCTTTGACGTACTGTCGCACTGTTGTTATTCATGTTAGGTCCAACTCTGATTTCTGTAAATATATATATATATAGCTGGCAAGTGAAACTCTGTATTTTAAGCTGCCCGCCGGCCGGCAGCAGCAGCAGCAACACATCAACACATCAGCTTCAAGAGCTTCAGCTTCATTTGGGCGAACGGATGTAGATACCGCATCTCAGCGACTCGCCAGCTCTTCATCTCTCCATCCCCATCTCCATCTCCCGAGCTCAGCCATGGCCTTTCATGCTGCGTCATGGCAATAGCAATACCAATACCAGTTACAGTACTCACTCGACTCGCTGGCTGGTCACTTTCTTTTCTTTCTTTGTTGATCGATGTGAGTGCGCAAAGAATGCATTCGAGTACACACAAATAACACATGCACTGAGCGAAAATGTCTGGCCAAAATCAAACAAAAACCAGCTGCAACAGGAAATAATAAAAAAAAATAACAGTTGGCACATTTAGATCTCACATGATCTACGAAGTTTCACGGAGAATAGACAAAATATAGTTAGATCTTTTTCTCTTTGCATAAATTCAATTAGCGTTAATTTTGGGTTGAGTCTCGATTTTTGTATACTTTTTCTTATGCATCAAATTCTCGACCTCATGATTCTATATAGTCTTTTCCGTTGCGTTTCTTTTGCTATTCCAGCATTGATTTTTTTTGTCTTATGCACATTCTTCTGTTGACAAAAAGAAAAATCAATGTAAGTTTATCAAGTACATTGCACTGCATTTCTCTAGCTATTTTGACACTGAGTTCGTCGCCTGACCTTTGACTTTTACTGCGTTTAGAGTACACCACAAATTCTTGGAACTGAAACTATATCATATATTTGCTGAGACACAAAACTGTGTGTTCAAATCAAGGTCTTGGCTTATAAATAATCTCACGCTCTTCTGCCTGCCCAGACTTGAACAACTTTTTGGCTCAGTGTACGCCGTATTGGGTGGCTAGCAGCCAGTTGATTGGCAACTGCAATTTGCAATTACAGCACATAATCTGGCACTCGCAGATAGATATATGTATGCATCGTATATGCATATTCACGTTCGGTTTCCATTTAAATTATACGCTGATCGGTCGCAGGAAATTATTATTTGTCTGCGCTTTGTCTGCGTCTCGAGTTGGCCCACTCGCCCGATAATTGACGGGGGGGACTCGTTTTCTCAGGCTTTTCAGGCTTTTCAGACTTTTCAGGCGCGACGTGACTCAGTCTCCGGGCGGCGAGGTTTTCCCATTGTTACTGGAAGCGTTGCGGCCAATCGTTTGTTTTGACCAGACGCCTTTGTTAACTCACGTGCTCGGACTTTCAATGGGCTGTTTAGCGGTTGCTTATGATATTTATGTTAATGGGTTGCTTGGGATTGTTCTTTCAGCCTGTTCTGCTTGGCTCGCCATCTCGCTCTCTCGCACTTATTAGCATTATTATGGTAATTGTTTTGGTCATTCGGACTCGGACTGCCACTGGGTCGGGTTTTCTTTGGCTTAATTGAGTGTCATTTACTTTTTATCTCTTCTTTTATTGTTGGCTTTTATTTAGTTGAATCAACGAAAACTTTCCGAGTTTTGGCTCTTACGTTTTCCTAAATCTGGCCAGTTACACGTTTCTTTTCCTCTTTGTGCTGCTGCCACCCAAAAAAAAAAAAAAAAAAAATTAAAACAAAAGATAAAATGAATAAGAAAAAACTAAATTACGCATACGCAATGTTGTCGGTGGGATCTTTTGGGTTCGTGACAACACAATGCACAGAAAATACACTTGCATTTTTTTTGTTTCTCTTTTTTCAAGCTTTTGTTTTTGGCATTTTTGAATTGACTTCAAGATGAATTGAACAGAAATTTACCACACTTTCAAAATGAAAAACATGTTTATTGATAGCCAAGCTCCAAGCCCGTTGCTCGCTGCCCGTTTTGGCCATTTGCAACTTTTTGCGTCATGAATCACAGCTAAAATTAGACAGAGTCAAGAGTTGTCTCTCCCTCTCCCTCCCTCTCTCTCCTCTCTTGCTCGCTTGTTAAGCTATTCTCTCCTCTCTCTCTCTTATTTTTGCATAACGTCTTTGAATCTTTCTTTTGACATATGATTTTTCTCCATCTCCATCGGTTTATCATTAGCTTCATAGAATTGGCTATTGGTGAAAATTAGGCAATAGCCCCCAAAACAATTATCTTTCGGGTTTACATAAGCGAAAAGCGATTTTGCATGTGGTTAGGCAAAAGTGGCTTTTGGTTTTTTAATTGGCCAAATATTTCGATTGATTAAAGTGAAGTTATGTAGAGAGACAGGTGAAGGGGAAAACGTTATAAAATTGTTGAATATATGAAAATTGGTTTGGTAAGATCTTGAGATACTTGACATATATGATCTACTTTATATATATATATTCGCTGCGTTGACATTATTCGCTTTGCGGAGTTTTCTTTTTAGAGCATCAACATTTCAAGCTCCAATTCATTTATTTGCAGTCTTATAATAACAAACGAGGTCGGCAAACTAAAATCTGGCCAAAATAATAGGCTTACAACCGAAATACACAAAGGCAAATACATGACTGACAAAAATACACAACAGTTGTTGATTGTTGTCGATTATTGTTGTTGTTGTTGTTGTTGTTGTTGTTGTTGCTGCTCTTTTTAACTGGCAACCGCATTAATAACTTTTTACTTATAGTTAAGCGTGCTTAACGTTTTTAACAGCAAACAATAAACAAACAGAGGCCAAAAAGCTGCCAATTCATAGCTAAAAAAAAAAAAGAAGAAAAAGCAAACATAATGGGCACCAAAATCGAGTACGTCGATACGACGCATCTATACGCTTCCAAGTACATACGCAACTCCAAGGCAATTGGCGTGCTCTGGGCCATATTCACCATATGCTATGCTATCATTGGCATCGTCGCATTTGTCACGCCAGGTGAGCCTTTCTTTACATACCCTATATACATTTGTATAGTTGAATATGTGTTGCATTTGCAGAATGGATTGGCGATCCGGATAGCGACAGCGCCGGTCGCCTGGGCCTTTGGCAGCAATGTCAGCGCGATGAGATCTTCGACAATTGCCGTCGTCGCTGGGAGAACATATTTGCAGTGCCCACGTTTTCATTTCAGGTGCGTTCCTTAAAACTGAAAAACCAGCAAGCCGAAGATTAAATGCCCTTAAAAAGACCGACACACGACAGTTGTGACACAAGTAGCTATGCTCACATTTAGTATCTAGGCTAATATAGGGTATATATGTTGAAAGGTTCCACGTGTAGTATGAGGAGTAAAGCGATGCTTGTTTAAGATGAATAGGAAAGAACGTCTATCTTTGGGAAGTCGCAGATGAAATACTCTACATTTAGCTTAGAAATGCTTTTAAAGCTGATTGATCTCTCCTTTAGAAGCCATATGATCATATGGCTAGTCCGATTTGATAAGGCCAAGCTGTCTTCACAGACGGAAAAGTTGCTTAGACGAAAATTCTATTTTTGACGGATTCTTCCTCTAAAGTTATATGGTAGGGTATGTCCGATGTTGACAAGATTTTGATCATGCTAATAGAGAGTAGTTCAACATGGAAACAGAGAGAAAAGGAAACGGAAACGACTCTTGATGCTGAGCAGGAATTAGGTGGTTGCATAAGTATTCTTCTGCCTGCCACACACTCAATATTACAGGGTATACCAAGCCATTTCAATTTCTTAATTTCTTGCTTTCAGTTGGCCACATTCTTCATGATCGCCGCCGTGGGACTGGCCTTGCTGACGATATTCTTTTTGGTGTGTTTGCTGTTCATGAAGTCGACGCGCGTCTTTCACATTTGCGGCTGGATGCAAATAATATCAGGTGTGTGTTTGTGCGTGTGTGTGTGTGTGGGGCCCAATTCTCAATTTGGAGTTTCCAGTTTCAATTGCTGACTTCGACGGAAGTCGGCTTGAGAAATGATATCGAAATTCTATCTGGCTGTTACTTTGAGCACGTTTCGACGTTTGCTGCTGCTGGCAAAATGTAATCTTATTGGGAAATTGCGCTCAATTTGTTTTTGTTTTTGTTTTTGCCCTCTTTGAATTCTTGTGCTTCGATCAGCATTTGTCACGTATTTTAAATCTATTGTCTTGTTTTTTCCTGTTGTTTTTGTCTTTCTTTAGCGCTCTGCATGATTGTGGCCTGCGCTGCATTTCCCTTTGGCTGGAATTCAGATGATTTCCGCAAGATATGTGGGCCGGAGGCGAATCGCTTTGAGTTGGGCCTCTGCAGCATTCGCTGGGCATATCCATTGGCCATCATTGGCTGCGTGGATGGCGTTGTGCTGGCCACATTGGCCTTCATTCTGGCCACGCGACACGTGCGCCTGCAGCCGGATCCCATCTACCAGAACTCGCTCTACAAAGGTGAGTGTGTGTGTGTTCCCTTCAATCTTTTGTTTTATAACGTAATTTTCTTGCAGGTGAAATTAACAATGCGTATCTGACGGATGCCATTAGCCTGGCGGGCTCACGCAAATCGAATCCGCACATAACGGGCCTCAATTTGCAGCCCATTTTGTTGGTGGCGCCGCCCAATGAGGACAGCATTTCACAGTTTTCCCGCTATCACTGAGAAATGTTGAGTTTTCCGGACGCTGATGCATATTCAAATGTTTAACGGACAAACGCATTTGGTTGCTGCGCTGGCTAAGCCGAATTGCACGAAACAATAACCGGTTGGCGAGTACAAAAATATTGGCAAGCTAGGCTGTACGAAACTCGAACCGTTTCAGTTTTTGTTACGTACACTGCTTGCTTTTAGCAAGTTCACAAACCTAGAGATTTGAGCCTCGTTGAATGCCAAGTGCAAGTTTCGTTAAATTTGAATTTGCTTTTTGGCTGTTACAATTTAAAATTATTTTTATGTAATGCGTGAATCGTGTGAGTGTGAGAATTGCCGTGTGAATGATCGACTGAATGCTTAGCCTAAACTTAAGTTTTAATTAATTTAAATGTATTTGTGTATAGCTTGTGCCTAAATTCATACGTATAGTACATAGAATATGATCGCTGCCTGTAAATTATATGCCCGTAAATATACAAACATAATGTAAAAATAAAATGATATTGAACATAATGTTGTGGCCTATTTGAATGCGACCTCAATTATGCCATCATCATCAAGCCATAAACATCAAGAAGGTCAGCTCCAACTTTTCTGTGCACTTGGACAAACAAAAATCAAATTATGCTCCTTGTACGAGCTACCCCCCGCCTTGCATAGCACCGCCCACCCGCCCGCACTCACAAGCTGGCGACGCACATAAAAACCGATAACGGCCAACTTAGCGCCCAATTTGTTTGTATCCATCCCCGCTGCCCGCCAGCCCACCGTCCCGTCCTCCGTGCCCATCCAATAACCATTTGGCACATACTTTTCCAATAAAGTATTTACAGCAAACTTTTTGCCTGCTGGCAATTGAAATATTCCGCGCAAAGATGAAATCAAATAGAACCAAAAAACAAACCAAGCCGAGAATGTTGCTTGTGGGGTATAACCGACTGTGCAATACCCTGCGCTAACAACATAACGAGTTCTCTGCTAGACTCTCAGACTTTAAGACCCAAAGCAGTCGCTTTCAAACTAGGCGGAAGTGGACGTGAACTGCTTACTAGCATATAAGCGAGGTTTAATGCATCGGATAGACAGACGTGAAACAAACCATCCATCTCGCATTGCGTACAGGGTATAATGAGAGCAAAAGACGACTTCCTTGGAGCCTGATGTTTTTGCTGTAGCTGCCAGGCTGGGCACGTTTTAATATTCTTGTATAATTCATAAGCAATTCCATCAACGCTTACCAAAGGCGGCCTAAGTGGCCAAGCAGCTGGCGCCAATGCTGCAGGGAGCTGCCCCCCCCACACACACACCACCCTCTTGGTGGCATTTTATTTACTTCAGCCATTTCTTTTTGAGCAAACCATCCCCTCGTGCAACATATGGTCGCACGATTTTGGGCCATTTCGACACGCATTGGCTACGTGGCCAACCCTCGATGAAGATCTCGCCGGGATTCGCTCTGATTTCTTGATGTGCCAATTGTTTTTATTCGATTTGATGGAATGAATTTTTAACTTTTCTTGTCCTTGAGGTTGACACCGCGTGGGCGTGGCACTGCGACAACATGTGCCGCCGCCGCAGCTGTCGCTGGCGTCGCTTATTAGTTGAGCATTTGGTCAATTTTATGCATTTCGAAGTGCTCGTCAAATGTGCAAATGAACGACCAACACATAACTTTGCCATGGCTCTTTCCTCTGTGTGTAATTACAAAACTGGACATTAGTTGACCTTTGGCATAGCCTCGGCCACATGCCACGCCCAGGCAGCGCCCACTTTTTATTTATTTTTTGTTACATTACACAGCGCAGCAACAATGTTAAAGGGTCGTCGGGGGCCTGGCGGGCGCCAGGCATGGGGCGTGGCCAAATGAATTGCGCCTTTAAGGTTTTCGTTTAAGTGAAATGTCAGTTGCAGAAATTGAATCGAAAATTGTAAAATTGGTTTTGTATAAACATTTTTGCCAAATGAAATGAAATGAAAATGCTTTTGTTATAGCTACCAAAAGCTGGCAGTAACTGCTGCTGCCCCCGCCCCTCCTCCCCCCTCCCTCTGTTCCAGCCACTGCGACTGCCAGCCAAGTTCTGTTGTTGTTGTTTTTGTTATTTATTTTTTCCTGCAGCTTTCTTTCTTGACTTTTGAGCACTGAAAACATCATATTTCTTGTGCCTGTTTTTTATTCTTGTGCAAAACAAAGGCATTGCAGCGTTTACTGTTGCCCCTGCCCACCCTTTGCCCACCCCTTCTCACCCACAGGCACTTGTATACACACATAATTTATGGCTCATACGAGTCGTGTGTGTGTTCTTTGAAGCCAAACGCAGCGCAGTGTGCGGAATTGTGCAAAAGTCAAAACTACGTCAATCAAAAGCTGCCGCAGAACTAGCAAAGGCTCACGAAACTGGGCATATTCGACAAGCGGGTGCTCTGTACGAGTCTTTTAGCTAAAGACTATCTTAAAGCTATCGTACTTATTTATATATGAATTGCATATAGAGGCCGAAATGGTTCGTATCTAGTACTCGAAGTACTCCACAATAAACAAGTCCAATTTTCGGCTCGGTTCGGTTCTCGGCTCGAACCAATGTTTCGTCTTACGGATTCGGTTCGTGAACCTGGTTTAGCATATGTCTGAACCAGAGTTTTGTTTAAACCTTGCTTAGTCATGGTACTTGGAAGTTTGTTTTGAAACGAGCCATTTCTTACAAATGTTGGTTAGGTTTGGGCTTAATTTGTGGATGTTTTCAATTAATCCTGTTTTTTAGGTTCCGTTTCTGGTTAACAAATTGGATTGCTGTCCTCCATCCGGTTCGGCTTAAGCATGGCTTTCACTGGCTTCGGCAAAACAACGTACAGCATCGCCAGTCGCATTCGCTCCAACCTTGTATACCCTTTGCAGTCCTTATCCTGGGGTATGACAAACGAATTGCCTTTCTTTACGTGGTGGCCTTAAATTATGTCTGGCGCTTTGTGCTTTATGTAGTTGCTGGCAATTCGAGCGCTGCCTGTGATTTATCAGCCTGTAAAATCATAAAGAACTTTTCCAAGCAACAATTTTTTATTCCGGAAAGAAAAGTTGTACATTTATTTCATATACAAAAAATCGTAAAAGTTTGCGTTTTAACCGCTGCCTAAAACAGTATTTTCAATTAAAAGGTAAATTTAAAATTATGTATTTAATTTAGCCGAGCTAACTAACTAAACGCACTAACTAACTAAGTAGAACTAGAAACGAGCTCGCATTTTTCACATTGTAAAAATGACTAGTGAATTCATTGTTCTTGTCGCTGCAACAAGTTGCGAATTACAATTATGTACAGCTTACAAATATCTATGGATAAGTATGCGCATATATATATATATATCTACTAAATAACTAGCAAACCCGATTTGGCTTTTGGTTGCAAGATTATGAATTGTGGAATTGTCGGTTCAGATGTGCAAATGAAGTGAATAGAAAAAAAAACCCTGTAAAACATCGAAACCGTTTTGTTATTTGTTTTGTTTTTCATTTGGCAGCAGTTTATGCCACGATTTTGGCCAGAACGTGACTAAAGCTAAGCACAAACACATGCACGCACACTAACACACACTCGCACACACACGGACACACTCGCATACACACGGACACACTCACACATATTACTTAAAGCTATGCATCCTGATTGCTTGCCACACTGTTGTCAATTATCGGCTGCTCGTCGTCCCTGTCCCGCTCGGGATCGAGGCAGGCGCTCATGGCATGTGGCATGTGGGTGCGCAGCAGCACATAGCTGTCCCGATGATGCTGCAGCAGCTTGTGCTGCTGATGGGCAATGAAGCTGCTGCCGCGCCGCAGCGAACGTCTGCCCATCTCGAGTATCTCCAGCGAGGGATCGCGTGCGAACACAAAGTTCTGATAGGCACGCACAAAGCTGAAAATGACAGCCGAGGCGCCGCCCATGATCATCAGATAGGAGCCAATGGGCACCGCGTGCGGCGCAATGACAGTGGCCAGATACAGCCAGCCCCGGATGGCGGGCGTCAGCTCTGAGATGCCCTGTAAAATGGGTTTACACAGATGTTATCTCATTCATGGCTGGGCGGAACAATTAACCCACCTCTTCGAGCCACATGACCGGAAATACGAAATCACGAAAATCACGCACTGGATGCACGTCCTTGGCCCGCGTCACCTTCAGATTCAGCTGTATGCGCACCTTGCCCTCCAGCGGTACTCCAAGTTTCTAAACAACCATTAGAATCAGCTTAGATCTTGACGACAACAACAACAGCAGCAAGGGGAGAGGGAGAAATCTTACCGGTTGTATTTTGAAGTAGGTTTCGTGTTTGTCGCGCTGTGGCTCGAGACCTTCGACCGCGTCGAGCAGCTCCGGGTCCGCATCATAGAAATGTGGATTGGATATGTACACGGGCGCGCCATACTGACACGGGCTGATGTTCTGCAGGCCCCTGACGGCATCGTAGTCGTTGACATCGTAGCATTTGTTGTCCGGATTGTGCGCTGAGTCGCCGTACGAATTGTTGGGCAATCGATAGAGATCTGCGGCCAGGCCATCCTTCTCGACTCGCTCCACATACTTGAGCGGTATTATGCGGCACAAATCCTTGTCGTAGATGTGCACCACATCCGACTTGGTAATGTCGCGCGGCGGAAAGAACGAGCCCTCCGAACCGGCTATGCTCGTGCAGGGCTCCTCGTTCCAGTGCGGCAGGTGATCCATGCCATTGAGCGAATCAATATAGCCAAACTGCTCCATGCCCTGGTAGCCCGTCTTAATGTTGGACACCTCAGTCAGTGTACCGTTGCGTCCGAGCAGCAAGCCCATCCTTTCCATGGGCCGCATGTGCTTCGGATAGAATCTGTGCGCTAAACTGACCAGCGCGTCGTCATACCCAAAGACCAGCTGATCCGCCGTCACATTGATGAAGGGCTTCAGCTTGGCCGCAGTTAGCACAAAGGATATCGTTTTGGACAGCAGATAGCCCAACTTGGGACTCAGACTTGTGAGGGTCTGGGGAAGAGATTAGGTAAAAGATTTCAAATAAAATTATATTTCTATGTATATCATATAGGATAGTGTAGCTTGACTTATATCATTGGATTTATGCTTCTTATTTGAATATAGCATAATCTGATCAATAAATCAGGCATTTGTCTACTTACCAGCATTGGTATGTTGGGCGTGACTATGGGCGTATTCTTATCAATACTCAGTTCAGGAACAAATTGTAATATTTTCTTATGCTGATATGACACCGTGTAGTTGTTCTCATGGAATTTCACATTCACCTTCTCCATGTCTTCCCTGCAAGAGCAACAATATCAACAATTAATAAATGTTCAGTTTTGTTACATTTTCGTAATCGGATCTTTATATCAACGGCACGTGTCAAAGTCGTTTGGCCGCCAGTCAAAACCCAAAGTCAGGGACGGTGCTCGTTAAAACAAAAAGAGATCCACAAAGCGAGCAGCCCAACCCAACTGAATGTCAAGTTCATTTGTCGCACTCGGAGAAATGTGAGCAACAAAAAAAGAAGCGAAACGAAGAAACGAAACGAAACAAAAAAACGGAGATGACAAACGCTTTGGCGTTTTTGTGGCGTTTTAGTGGCGTTTTAAGCAGCTACCGTTTGAGGTAGTCATTTCATGACAGCAAAATGATTTGTTATTGTTGTTGTCGTTGTCTTTAAGTAATCCATCAAATCATCATGAAACTGTAGATGCACCCTAATTGCATCTAATTCAGGCAGTATTGAACTGTATCTTTAGCTGTATATGAATCTGTATCTTTATATGAATCTGTTTCTGTACATTTATATGTTGTTGTATCGGTATCTGTATCTATGTATTTATATGTTGTTGTATCTGTATCTGTATCTATATCTGTATCTGTGTCGGTATCTGTATTTATATCTGTGTCTGTATCTGTATTTGTATCTGTATCTGTATCTGCATCTGCATCTGAAATTGATATTCATATTGTAGTTATATTTGTTTCGTTTATTTTATTTCAGTGTCTGTATCTGGTGATATTAATCAACGATCGCCTGCTCATGGCCCGTTATCCTTCATTCGAACTGGTTTAAACTCTGGGCGGTCCCGCAACTTGTCAAACTTCACATTCTCGGATACACATATTATTCAAGCCAGCTCCCGTTTGTGATCTGCGGTGCTTTGTTATTTTCTTGATTTGATGGCTCAATTAATGGCAACAACAGCGGCTGCTGCGGTCTGGCAGCGGCTCAGTGATTCGACATTTAGGCGTGAATTGTCAGCAGTTTATTGGCAAATCTCCTGTAGCTGTTGTAGTTTCAACCGAAGCTGTTGCAAGTTTTCTTATGCTCGAAATAATTGCTTGTTTTATTAAGTGTTAAAATGAAAAAGTTTCAAATTGATGCAATTTATTTGGCATTGTCGTGAATTCGATTTAAGCCAAATGTACATTAGATTTATGTGAGCTAATCAATCATAATTATCTGTAAAAATGTCCAGTTGGCGTTGTAGAACACGAAATGATCGCATTTATTTCTCATTTAGCGAGCTGACCGCAAAGTTCAAGTTATATCTATTAAAAGCACAGATAACCTTTTGTGTAATTTAGACTTGATTTTCTCTGTTTAATATTTAAGCACAATTAAACAACGCTTTCTATATGCAGCGCGAACGGACAGTTTAGGTTTTATGCATAAGAAATACACAATTATGGTAATTACAACCATTAACGTTGATTTTAAACACATATTTCCCAAAGAGCCATGACGAAAGAGCACTTTGCTAAAGCTGCCATGAAAATACTCGTATTACTTATATAATAAATTTCGAAATTCTAGAATCAAAAGGCGTAACCACTTTCCCCCCTATTAAATATTATTATAAAATAATTATTAATTTGTTCTGAAACTTGTGCTTACCTGTAGACAAACGGACCCACTTCCTGCAGCTTAGGCTTCTCGCCGCTGAGAAATCCATCCGGATTGGTTACATTATAGATATAGACCTTGGTTAGGCGTATGACGCCGGGTCGTTGCCAATAATGATAGCTTAATGTATCATTCCACAGCCTTAAATTCTGCGAATATACGAAGAATCATGATATTAGAAGAAGCTGAGCGCTCACATTGAGATGACGCGAACTTACCTTTAGTATAAAATAGTCCAGCCATGGTATGGATGTTAAAACTATGCCTAAGATTAATGTAACTATACCAATAATTATCACAGCTAGTCTATCTGAAAGTAAATTTAAAATCGTTAAATACAGTTGGTAACAATTGTGCGATTAGTCAGCATATTTGGTTTATTTTTTTTTAACAGCAGCTCGTGTTGTTGACCTTTACATGCAAAAATCTCGAATAAATATTTGGCCAGCAAAAGTTACCCAGTTAAGCAAATTTATTGGTGTTATGTACATGGGCGTCGACAGAAAGCGGAGAGTTAAACGTGTCATTCTGTGGGATACTGCGTCACGCTTCCGTTGTAGAAATCCCAGCTAGAGACGGACGCGTCTTGGCTGTTTTAACCACGGCTCGAATGAACGAAAATGCCAAGGATTGCACGAGTTTTGTAATTTACAATATTCTCTTTGTAGTACTAAAAAGGGTATATCCTGCTGTCTGCTTCTTATTTATCCGCGCCAGACAAAGTTCTTAATTTGCTGCGTAAATTGCAAAAATTGTTGGAGTTAGAACTCCAAATTTGTCAGCTACTCTTAACTACTCATGACCTCAAAAGATCGAGCTAAAAGTGTTGTCATATATACATAAAATATATTTAATTTGTAGTAAAAACATAACAGTTTGAAAGCCATTACTTTGCGGTCACATTCTTGAAGTCACAAAGCCAATGATCTGGAGACTTTTTCGAATGCGTAAAACTTTGGACAGAGTATTTGGCAGTCGGTTTAAGCTAACTGCAATATTCTTAGTTGTTTTATCAGATGATATATAATTTGTATAGGGAATTGGTTTGTCTTTTTCTCGTCTCACGCGGTCAACTTAAACACCCAACCCAGTTCCCTGGACTTTTCACACCTCCTTTTCTTGAATGAATGCAATTTCGCGTTAAGTAGGAACATAAAATTGTTGCCGCACTTCGTTTGGGTTTTGTGGTATTTCACGGCTATCACTCAATATTTTTTTTGTAGATCTTGCTCTTGGCCGACTTATTGAAATTGAACATTTTGTGACGTGCGCAAACAATTTATGATGATTTTTGCTTATCAGTTGAGTGAGACGCGTTTTGCGATCGCAAATTTCAGATTGCAAATTGTTATATTAATGGGGCTGTGCACTTAGGGGACTCGATTAACCCATCTGCCATTACCTTGTTGGCATTTTGTTACACAGTGGGCGTGGCCAAGTGGTGTTTGGTGGGCGGTGGCACACAACGTACAATGCCAACGGGTCTCGCTCGGCGTCCGCGCCCCCCTAAAACAGTCAACGAACTGATTGCACTTCAAGACCGGGCCACACGCGCTGCACTGACAACCCCAAGAAACAAAAACAAAAAATAATATCAAAAGTGCAAGGCCCAGCACTTAAACCTAAAAAATAATTTTAATAAGCGCAGACACCAATATCTATATACATATATATATATATACATATATATATATGCACATATAGGGTGCATATTTGCGGGTCAGTCGAATCAGCTTTTCGATAACGCTCGCGAAATTTTTCATGATGGCATGCCTCGTAAATCTTGCAGCCGGAGATGAGCTATGGGCGCGATAATTTTATTATTTGTGCGGCAAGGTTCAGGCGTTCCATTGACCCTGAATATTGGTGGCGCCCGCGCTCTGTTCCGGCGGCTGAGAAATCAACAGCAAAATTTACGCAGAGAAAGTTACGTAAAATGTCATAAAATCGAGCACAAAATGTTGACATTTTGGCAGAGTTGTTGCTGCTGCTGCTGCTACTGGCTTATACTTATTTATACACATTTTTTTTTGGGGCAGCTGTCAAGCTGAAGGTCAAGGGAGTATACCCGTCGCTCGTCAGCGGCACAATCTGATCGCGGCATTTAATGTCGGTTTACATTTATCGGCTTTTCGGTTTCTTGGCGATTGGCTTCATCTGATTGCGTTGCGTTGTTAGTTGATATTACAATAATTATGCATCTATATGTATATTAGCCGTATTTGATGTTGTTATTGCTGTTGTTGTTGTTGTTGCTGCAATTGACAACAACGCTTGCCTGGGCTGGTCGACATGGTCAATAAACATTTGGCACACAATTGATACGTGAGCGCCTGCTGCCGTTGACAATAATGCTGAATTCTCAGTTGTTGCTGTTGTTAATGCATACACTGAAGCTGTTGGTTGTTGTTAATATTTCTATTTTTGCTGCAAGTCGTCTTTCAATACCCTACCAGAATGTATATCAATATTTCTATAAACTTTGCAACGTACTGTCGACAGAGCACCTCCTAAATACAAATGATTTTATGAGAGTAGGTTCAAAACCTACAACTATTCAAGATCTTAAACAGATTCTCTTCTTGAGTAAAATTATCTAACTAACCGCACATCAAGCCAAGGGATTTGGCTTGAACTGACAATGATGCTTAACTAAAGATTTGTTTAAGTTATATCGAGCTAACTTAGAAAACAGCTTGTTAAATATTGATAGCTGTTGTCCTATATGATATATATATTTATTTATATATATATTTATTTATTGATAAAAGAAATTTTTGTCTTCTTGAAGTTTGGCTAGAATATTTAGTATTCGCTATGCTGTATTAAGCCGCGCTTTCTTGCAAATATGCGCAACAACTTTTAGTTACACCAGATGCAGAGGCGTCGAGAAGGGGGGTCAGCTGTAAGATAGTTATAACCTCAAACCTCTTCAACTATTTTTTATCAGACTCGAACTAGTCTCTGCTCTCCTAACTATAATAAGTTTTCCAGCTTAGCTTAATCACTTTGAGTCCCCCCTCGGGTTAGGCCCCTGACTTAGACACTTAATGCTGGTGTCATACGTTCGTTTTGTAGAAAATTACCGCTGAACATGCAATGTGCTGAACTCTAGTATCTGGTTTCCATCCGCTGTTGAACTGTCGCAATTATGTTGTGAACTTTGCAGCCACTTTGAAGGAGCTGCCCAAATGGCAATTAGTTAAGCTCATTTCCAGTTAACTTGTCTCTCAAATAGTTCTCCGATGCCCTATTAGGTTAATTTGGGTACTTTTTTTTCATCGTCACATTCATTTCACAAGCGACTGTTAAAATTAGCGCTTACAATAACTGGCTGTTGGTTGCAGCTGGCCGCAAGTCTTTACTCACATTTCTTAAATGGACAACTTTTCAATAGACGCGGAATTGTTGTCTACAACAAAGCGGCAACAATAACTGCACATTTGCAACGCCTGCAGCTAAACAATTAAGCTCAGATTTCGTTTCAGAACGTGCCCCAACTGAGGCATGACCCGACTGTCAAGTGGCGGCGACTCTGTCTCAGTTGCATTGTTTAACTTTGTAAACACTTTTGTTTAAGCAAATTATTACAATTCTTGTGTAGGAACTGTAGGAACTGGCCATGGCTTGGAATTCCGGCGGGCGCACTTCCTTGTGCCGCATACGCCTTACAATTTGCATCCATATGCAGCCGATCTGCCAATACCGATACGATACCAATTAGCTGGCATACATATGTTTCGAACCGGTTGTTGGGGTCTTCCTTTTGGGGCCTGGACGTGCCTTCTTGGTAATTTTGCTCTTAAGTTATCGCACATCGGCCCTTAATTAAAGCACTTACAACTGATCTCGAAGCGGCATAATAAAAAACGGTCGACTACGTTCCCTGGAAAGTTTCTTTTCATTGTTGTTGGTCTTTTTTTCTTTTTTTGGAGGTGTTCCACAAAACAGAAACATGTTAACGAAACTGAAAAGCTGTAAAATTACGAGGGCATGTTGTCGAAAGTGAAAGGTCCCTGTACTTGCTTGGTGGGAGAAACACATAAAAGAAACATTAAGACAGGCAATTTGCAAATATTAATAAAAGAACAACTGAACTTGACATTGGGCGAGGAGAAACAGAGCAACAATTAACGTATGAGGCTGTAGCTTTCTTTTAAAGACCGTAAGAGGACAGAGCAGAAGCATTTAAACTGTTATCGATCAGTAAATCGATAATTGTGTCTCACTCCAAGAGAATCTTGAAATCTATATGTAGTTAAGGTTAACCATATGAAAATTCAGTTTTAACATGCTTGTCACATACAGCATGAGTAGCTTATTGTTTTAGACTCGGCAAGAGAACCTTTAACGTAACTCTTGGAATGTACATGACAAAGATTCAGCAAAGACTCAGCTTCCAAAAAGCTGAACGAGAGAATGCCTCGTGCGCTAGGCACGATCTATTGCATGTGGCCTAAATCAACTGAATCAACTGCACATTTGGTTATATAATCTTAAGACAGAAACTCACGCACACTGGCAAGCTTTGAGTGCGACTTGTTATTGCTAAAGACTCCATGTGAGCATTGGCCAGTGCAGTCAACCGGCTGAGACTTCTTCTTGCCAACTCTGTGGAGGTTGCTTTTGCAGCAGCATCAGCAGCAGCAGTGGCAGCAGCAGTCACAGTAGCTGGCAGGCTGTGGCGACAACCGCGCCTGTTTCTGTTTGTGCAGCGCACACAAACTATATGGCAAATACCACGCCCTCACGCCATCCCTCCCCCCGGGGCACCTCTTTGAGTCGAACTTAGAATTGGCCAAAATCGAGGCAGCAGCTGTGATTGCTAACTTGGCTGCCTAATTGTGTTAATTTGTGTTCACTCTCTTGATGCCGTCGAGCGCTCGTTTGGTCCGCAGTCGCCGCGTCCCAAGCTCGAGTCCATGTCCAGAGTTAGCCACTCCGCTCCACTCATTCGACAGTCGCTGTCGCCGTCGCCGCCGTCGTCGTCGTCTTCAACTCAGATTTCGGTTCCACTCGCAGCTACAGATTTCGGTTTTTAGTATTTCACATCTCTGGCTCAGGCTCGGGCTCCGGCTCGGGCTCGGGCTGCGGCTCTTGAGGTCTTGTATATTGATTTGGCAACATTTTCATATTTGCTTTGTGTGTACGAGACTCGAGTGTGTGCTTGTATTTGTTAGTTGTAGTATTTGGCAGTTAATAGTGGTTGTTGTTGTTGTTGTTGCTGTTGTTGTTGTTGCTGCAGTAGACAACATTGCACTGGCCAGTTAAGTACCCGCTTCGACTTTTCAATTGCGAATTTTTATTTCGCCTTTGCTTCACTTCTGTTTTATGTTTTTTATGGGGTTTTCTGTTTAGTTGTCAGGCTGTTTAGCGTGGTATAAGAATTGCCCAAGCACTGTAGCACAAAACCAATTGAAAGTGTGGCTG